AAAATAACTCCACTATCCAATTGGGTGCAAGACAAAAGAGTACAAGTGCTGGCCTCTGTGTTCGACTAGCCCAGGAGAGATATATGGACAATTTATTCTGGTTACTTATCCCAACATTTGTACGAACTCAAGTTTCGATAAACAGATTTAAGCCAGTTTAGGGTGGTGTTCTCTTAGAGCTAAAAGAAGCCTCCTAACTAGTCAGGTCAGCCCTTGGTCTTGGGGAACAGTAGTGCCACTGATTGCTTTTAATGAGCAAACTACACCTCATGGCCAGTGTGGTTGCCTGCCCACAGAAAGAATCCTGAATAGGGGAAAAAGTTCTGGCTGGTTGAGGATACCCCGGGGACACAACTTAGTCATTTTCAAGAAGACATTGGACTCACCAACCTGAAGGTAACAGGAGACCAATAAATACCTTTAGGTACATGCATGGGGACAAAGTATGTTTGGTCTTAGAGTATAAACCCAATCAAACTTTGAGTTCCTAGACATATTTTTGTTTCCCTGAGAGTTTGAGGAAACATAACATAGGGAGGGAAAGCTCTAGATGAACACAGTTGGAAGTTCAAATGCTGATTCTAGCTGTGTGACCCGATTCTTCATCTGTGTCTACGTTTATAGGATGGGGGAACGAGGACTTATAGAAGGGCTGAGGGAAAAGTAACAGTAGCAGCCAATATTTGAGAGTCCATTACATACCAAGAACTGTTCCCAGCACTTCTGTGTATCCAATTCTATAACATGCCTACCACTAGAGGCAAAGTTCAGTAATATCCCCAATTACATAGACTGGGAACCTGAAAAACAGAGTGGCTGAGAAATTTGTCGAAGGTCACAAGACTAGCAGCTGACAGAGCCACGCACTCTCAACCACAAGGCCACACCCTTCACCACTGTGATGCATGGCCTCTCACACAGGAAAATAATGAGGAAACTGCTTCTCTCAGTGCTGAATATGAGGAGGTGGTTAGTCAATATTGGCTGTCAGTCCTTAGAACAACATATAATATTTGTACATTCTCCTAAACATTTTAAGAATTTAAAAATGTTTGGGTCCAGCCTAGTATCCAATGTATGCTTAAAGGTGATGATTTTTCTATTTCCTGACAAGACAAACTATTTTTTGAATATTTGACTATTTTATTAAAATATTTGTCATTTTCTTCAAAGGCCACTTGAAGTCCTTACAGAACATTTCTCTAAATCTTGGCAAACAAGAAATAAGAACAATGGTGAAATAAAACTGCACAATTCTAATGAATCTTCACAGGCATCATCTCATCAGATGACAGACTGTGAGGAGGAAAGGCCTTGTGATGTCAAATTGTCAATAAATAAAGATCCCAGCATAGTGTATCTGAGTAAATGGAAAAAAGCCTGGTAGGTAAGAACATGCACTCTCAAGTCAACAAGCACGCATTCAAATCCGAGTTCCATCACTCACTACCTGATAACCTCATACCCTCCACGTCTCACATGCCCTATTTCCAAACACAGAGATCATCGGGACAAACATCACGGGACATTTTTCGAGGAATTCTCTAAGCACTTAGTAAGTCCTCAATAAAAGTCCACTGTTTGTATTATTATCCCCACCAAGGCCCCAGAAATTGGACAAGGGTTATCAAGAAGCAGAGCCAGGATTCTGCCCAGGTATCCACTTATTGTAATGCTCTTTCCATGGTACAACTTGGCTTATGGGCCCCTTCTTCCCCAGAAAAATCATTAGGACTCTTGGATGACTCCTGATTCATAGATATTTTCTTTCAAAAAGGGCATTTTTAAAAATCTGCAAGTCAAGAGTAGTACAAGGAAATAGAACAAGCTAAGGAATGCCTTGAATTATAGAACAACCTGAGGATCAGATATAAAATCAGATGTCTCTTAAATCAAATAGGGCCAGGGCCAGAGCTGATGCCAGGAAGGCTTAACATACATTACAATGAAGAACACAGATATGTAAGAAGGGACCCATAAAAACCACCAGCATGTGAAATACTGCCAAATGCTGTGTGCTTGCCAACGAGGCAGCATCACTAGGCTGGATTCTAATGTTCCTTGCTGCAAAGCAAATAGGCTGGGTGTTAATTAAAGTGTGTAAGTTGATTCGTGAGGTAGCTGCCTGGGAAAAGGAATCCTGCAGAGGAGTTTCTTCCTTTCATAGACTTCTTTTCTGCAAGTGAAATTATCCCAAATAAACACATCTGTGTATTCTCTGCTCCCTATCACTTACAGGGCTGGGTGCTTGTGAGAGACTTATTGTTGCTAGTTTCTAGATCACTCTCACGTGGAGTACCCAAAGAGCTGGCCTGTCTGCACTTCACAACAGCCTCACAGGCTCTAGAAGGAAGCTGTAATCATTCCATTTTACAGATGAGAAACATGACAGGTGGAGGCACTAAGGGACTTGCCCACAATTGCAGAGTGGTAGAGCCCATAGAAAAATCTTCATCTCCTGGTCCCTAATATAAGCCTCTTTCTACCTTATAAGTGAATGACACCCACAATAGCAAAAGACAGGCAAAGCATGGTGAGAATTTAAATGAATAGCCTGAGGAAGCAGGGCTGGAAGGGTGCAAGCTCAGCTTTCTGAAATCCTATTGGTATGGCAAGTACCCAGTCATGACTCTCATCAATACCACATTTGGTCCAGAAGAGCATGCTCGGCTGAATCACAGGCAGTGCTGTTTATCCACACTGGTCAAGCAGAGCCAGCCTTATCGTACCTTGCCAATTTTCAGGGAACTAAATCCTTTTGATGCCATTTGGCTTTTTTTTTTTTTTTTCTCTAGGTTACTCCAGGAATGAAATCAGTTGCCTCTTAGGCACTTAAAAACAAACAAAAACAAACAACTCTGACTTTTCAAGTTTATTTGAGAGAGAAAGAGTGAGCAGGAGAGTGGCAGAGAGAAAGGGAGAGAGAGAATCCCAAGCAGGTGCCATGCGGTCATCTGCAGAGTCCAATGTGGGGCTCAATCCCAACTATGAGATCATGACCCAAGCCAAAAATCCAGAGTCTGGCGCTTAACCGACTGAGCCACCCAGGCATGCCAAACATTCAGGTGCTCTTCACTTCCATTTTTAGACTAAGGGTTTTGCTTGGTCAAGGGAGATTGAAGGGCAATATTGAATGAGAAGGAGGTATCCTCATGGTCAAGTTATCTCCTGATCCTTTCTATTATTCATTTACCCTGTTAACACAGCCTGTTATTATTGGGAAACCTGCTAAGCCCTGGGTACTCAGGAATGTCCAGCAGGCAGAAGACACAGAGGATTCCTTCCTGCAGGGACCTTGTGTTCTAGTGGCAAGATATACAATAAGAAGAGAGAATTTCAGATGACCATTGGCATTGAAAAAATAATGCTGTGAGGGAGTGTCATTGGGGAGGATAGTGGTGATGGTGGGCCCATTTTAGATTCTGTGGGCATTTTAGGAAGCCCTCTTGAACAAGCAACTTTTTTTTTTTAATTTATTTACTTTGAGAGATACAGACAGCACAAGTGGGGATGGGCAGAGGGAGAGAATCCCAAGCAGGCTCCACACTGGGAGCACAGAACCTGATGTGGGGCTTGAACCCACAAAGGTGTGAGATCATGACTTGATCCAAAACCAGGAGTCAGAGGTTTAACCAACTGAGCCAACAAAGCTCCCTGAACAGGCAACATCTGAGCTGCCATTTCATTGAAGAGAGCAAGACAAATACAGGAAAAGTCTAGGGGAACATGTTCCCAGGGGAGGCAAATCTAGGCACACAGTTCCCAAGGAAGAAAAGAACATAGGCAGCCAGTGTTGCTGGCCCACCATGAACTGAGGGATTGGATATTAGCTGAGATGGGAATGGGCAAGAGTTGAGGTTGTGAGAGGTCTGGTAAACCATTTTGGAGGCATTGGGTTTAATTCTAAGTGGCCACAGTGTACTCGCCTGAGGTTGGCCTCTCAGTGCATTCCCTTTTTCCTTCCACTGTGGGCTCTGGTGTTTTAAAGACCAGCTTCATTGCTCAGCTGCACAGTCTCTGAATTCTTAATGGCACAGATCATGTGGATTACATATTGCAGGCAGTGGGCATCAAACAGTTTCCAAATTCACGGAAAGGGGGTATCGAGGCATGAGAAGTAGAGACAAAGTCTCAATTATTTCCTAAATATGGCAACAGGAGATGGAGGCTGCCAGCTTTGTTCTGCTTAGAGAAAAGCTTCTTTACAGGTGGTTGTTCCTTACCGCCCCTGGACACTTTGAATCTGAAAGACCCCAGAGCAAATATGACCTCATTGATTAAGTGCAGAGCATGGACTGGAACCTGCAAATGTTGGGTTGGCTCAGTTAACTTCCCTGACCCTCAGCATCCTTGTCAGTAATTGTAGCTAATACCAACACCTGTCTCAGGGGCTTGCAACAAGGTGAAAGGTGGTTCAACTCATGCTTTGCACGTGGTAAGCTTCCAATAAGCTTCCAATAAGCTCTCATCATTACTATTTTTAGTCTCCATCACCAAAATCCCAGCTCTTTCCCATTCCACCTCACACATGTGAACTTGTATCAAAATCCTGCAAAATGGTTTTATAAGCTTTTGGAAGAGGCCCTGGAATAGTATAGGTAACAACCAATACCTGTACACTATACAGGTAATTCATTTCAAACTATAGGAGACAAAGGCAGAGGCTGCCCTCTCCTGAACATGTAGAAAAGCCAAAATCACATGCAGTAATCATCATGCATCATCATCTGCAACCGCCCTCATATCCCAGCCAACTATACAGGCAAAGCTTTCCAGCATGGGCAAAGAGGTCCCCCAAAAAGAGTCCCTTGAAGCCTGGAGCTGCTGGTGGCTAACGGGGACACAGCTGCAGCTCCCAGGACCCAGGGTACTGAGAATGAGCCAGCGACAACCTCAAAGGCTCCCTCTGAAGTAACATCCCTGCCTCATGCCAGCAAGAGGTGGGGAGAACTGAGGAGAAAAAACCACCCCCCAGTCTTAGCATTAAGTAGAACACTTACCTTCTCCTTCCTTGGTAAAGGTTCCACAGCTATGACAGGGGGACTCAGGGCTCCTGAGGTGTTTTTATTCTGATGGGGCAGTGGAGACAGAGGCTGGGTTGCTACCCCCTCTAGTTATCCCATCCAAGGGGAACAAGTGCCAGTGAGAGCTTTCTTCTCATCTCTAGCTGGAACAGGTAGCTCCACCCCCTTTTAGAAGCCCAGCCCAGGTGTCACACACCTGAACACAATTCCTCCACCCCATTTCCTCCTCTCCTGGCCTGCTGCAGAAACCCGCTTAGCCCCGCCCTCTCCAAGGCTTCTAGGCTCTTCTTCCAAGCCCTGCATCTCCACCCTTCTCCTCAGCTCCCTGGCAGGGCTGGCCTAACCAGCTCAGGTACCCAGACCTAACCCCAGGGAGGCCTGTGCTGTTACCTGGTGGGTGGTTGGTCTGGTCTCTACCCGTCTGGCTCTGGCCTCTCCATTTTGTTTGTTTATTTGTTCTTTAAAATGTTTGTTCATTTTTGAGTGAGGGAGGAGCAGAGAGGGGGGGAAACAGAAGATCCCAAGCAGGCTCTTCCCTGTCAGCCCAGAGCCCAATGTGGGGCTCGAACTCATGACCTGAGCAGAATTCGGACACTTAATTGAGCCACCCAGGTGCCCTTCCAAATTACTTTGAGAGGGAGGCCCTGAGTTAGAGCCAGAACTTGGACACTTGGCCCAGCTATGTGAAACCAGAGAGTATCCATTTTCTGGTGACTGATTTACAAACTTACAGGAATTCAAAGGCCAAGTGTCGGGAGATGGGGCTCTGTCTAGCTACTTTACAGGGTAACTTCATTCCAAGCCAAAAGCTGTATCTCTATGCCAGAGACTTGGCTATATTGCACCCCTATTTTAGTGACCCCAGGTTTTCTCATGACAGATGTAGCAGCTGCCTTTATTCTCAGTAAAAAGATGAGAAGGAGAACTTGAAAGATAGGATGAAATCTGACCACCAGGCCCAAAGGAGATACTACTTCTTCCTCTCTGTTGGGGAGATCAGCAAAGAAGTTACGGCAATATACTCCATATCTATTATTAAAAAAGCACTTAGTCATGCCAATTAATGGCTGCTTCACTGAATCCACAGGTGGTCTTAAAATAAGGAGTTAAATTATCCTTGAAAGAAGATAATCATTGCTCAGGTCCCACATCTAAGCATTGGGGATTTTATTTTCCTACCCCAGCAAGGTAGTATTCCCTCTCTCCAGATCAGAGATTTACAGATCTGCTGACTCATCGGAATTATCTGGGGTTTTAAAAGTGCAATTTCTGCCTGAAACTCTCATATTCTAAGAGGGCTCAGGAATCTGCATTTAAAAAATTTCCCCTACAGGATTCTCGTTTGAGTGGTCTGGCTACTGTGCTTCAAAGAACACTGCCAGAGAATAGCGTGCTACATTCCCTCTTTCCAGACCCCAGCCTGCATTTCTTGTTGCCTTTTAAATTCAGCTAAGGACCAAGTTGTTTCCATTGTTTTCAATTCATGCTTCCACCCCTGCCTTCAGGAATTTCCCAGCTGGCTCCAGCTTGTTCCTCCTCCCTTTCACTGACAAATAGCTTTGTCAGAGGACAGAGTGTTAGACTCACAGATATTTCTGCCTTAAGAGACCTTAGAAATGATGTCATTGAACCCTTTCTTATCTCACCAGAAAAGATATTGAGCCCTACTTCTGCCCTTTCTCCCTTCTGACACCCAGACCTTACATTATTGCCACCACTACACTACCTGTCCCAAAGCTGACTCCTCTCACGCCCACACCTCCCCAGGCTCACTGACCGTGGCACCAGTTCTTCTGGAAAAGAAGCCAGGTGCATGGGCCCCACCCATCAATTCCTCTTCCTGCTCCATGGCTAAGGCAATGTGTTCAAGTTTCTTGTTTCTTGACTCAGGTTTAGTTTTAGAATGAGATTCTCACATCCCACCTGCTCCCTCAAATAGACTTATCTTACAGGCAACCAGATCTCATATGACTGTCTGTCCATCCCAATCATTTAAATCATAAGGCAAGAGTACAGGACCCATTTGATTCTAAACGCATTTACTAAACACCTAATATGTGCAGGGCATTGTGCTAGGAACAGCAAGGATTGTGAAGAGAACCAAAAGGTATTGATAATGATGCCATTATTGTTATAGGCATTGCTGTACCAGTGAATTGGAGAGACAAGAGAGAACACTGAGTAGGAACCAAGTAATGAGAGAGATGTGGGAAAATGTGTGAGTCTTATTTGCCTCAGGGGAAATGCTCTCCTGGAGCTGCCCATGCCACCTTATCAGTAGCTCAGGTGATCCCATGTGATATAATAGGGAAATTAAAATTAAATGTTTTTGGGGTGCCTGGGTAGTTAAGCATCTGACTCTTGATCTTGGCTTAGGTTATGATCTTGCAGACTGGGTTCAAGCCCCACATCAGGCTCTGCACTGATGGCTTGGAGCCTGCTTGGAATTCTGCCTCTCCTTCTCTGGGCCCCTCCCCCACTTGTGTGTGTGCGCTTCCTCTCTCTCTCTCTCTCTCTCAAAATAAATAAACTTAAACAAATTGAAAAATAAGTAAATAAAATTAAATGTTTTCTTGCCTTGCCGGTACAGTTACACAAGTCTTTCCTAGTACTCATAACCTTCAGATGAAATGAATGACAGCATAATCTAGTTACAAACAAACTTTGGCACTAGAGTGCTGGGATTCAAACCTTTACTCCACCAGCTTCCAGTTGTGTGGTTTTGGGTAAAGTACCAAACTTCCCTGGGGATGGGGGGGGGGGGGGCGGTGAGGGTAGATTGTTGTGTTTACATCACAAAGTGGTCACCAGGATAGTATCAACAAATATGTATAATCTACTTTAAAAGTGAGAGTGCCTACATATTATTATTCAGGAGATCCTGAACATTATTACCATGTATTTATTTACACTAAAAAAGATACAATGTTTTCTCATCCAAGGACCAAAAATATCTTCCAAATATTTGCTCCATTTGATTTATGCATCTCATTTCTATGTTTAAGATCCTTTTTTAGTTTATCCATGCTTTCCTTCCTGTATCCATTTAAATATATATTTTGGGGGGCACCTGGATGGCTCAGTTGGGTAAGCGTCCAATTTCAGTTCAGGTCATGATCTCACTGCTTGTGGGTTCCAGCCCCATGTCAGTCTCTGTGCTGACAGCTCAGAGCCTGGAGACTGCTTCGGACTGTAACTCCCTCTCTCTCTGCCCCTCCTCTGCTTTGCTCTGTCTCTCTCTCTCTCTCTCTCAAAAATAAACATTAAAAAAACTATATATATAGTTTTCATTGGGGATATACTGTGTGCCAAGCATTGTGCTAAGTCCTGGGAGTCCAATGGGTGAACAAACAGCCACTATCCCTGCTCTGAAGGAGTTCACAGTCCACTGGCATACCAGATATTGATTGAACAATCACACACAAGCTGTGACATTATGCTTATGTTAAGGAGCAGTACCCAGTGCTGAGAAAGCCTGTGAGAAGAATTTGACCTGTTCAGGGATAGAGTGGAACTGAGATGTAAAGGAAGAGATGGCGTTACCTGTACAGAGTGGAAGTAGCTGAAGGAGAGATGGGTGGGGGGATGGGCTAAATGGTTGATGGGCATTAAGGAGGGCACTTGTTGGGATGAGCACTGGGTGTTGTCTGTTAAGTGATGAATCACTGGATATGACTCCTGAAACCAATACTACACTGTATGTTAACTAACTTGAATATAAATAAATACATTTACAAAAGGAATATTCTAGATAAACAAATGCCATGTGCCATTTTAGTGCTGTTATAAGTGACCTCCACAACTTAGTGGCTTATACTGGAAAGGTTTGTTACTCACTTATTACTCACATGTAGGCTGTAGCTTTGATCAGGCTGTGACTCTGCTTCTCATTCAAGGACTGAAACTGAAGGAGCATCCCCAGTGTGGGACATGCTATCCCTGTAGCAGAACAGAAGGTCAAGAGCACTATTGAAAACCTTGCCATAACACTGAAGGCTTCTGCTTAGATGTAGCCTTGTTGTGTTTGCTTAAATTCCTTTTGATGACAGTGAACTTTTAAGAGTCCCAAAATCCACAAGAAAGGGCCATTGAGACCTGAGAAGTAAAGACCAAGGCCAAACTCAAAGCCAGTGGGACAGGGATGTATAATCCTCAACAATGGGGCCATAGCAAAGTATATTGCAGTGAGCAGGAGCGTAAGCCTCTTTGGGGAGGGCATGGGGATATATAATGGCAAAACTAATATAATCCTCTGTGGTAGAAAGTAAATGGCAAAAAACCTAGAGGCCTTTGTGGCTAAGGCTGAGAGGGTTGATGGAAATGTAATGAGATGAGACGAGTGGTAGTTACAGGCAAGCCATGTAAGGGCATCTGACCTTTATACACTGACCTTTACTCATTCAACCCCTTTCCTTAGTTGTTAAAAGAATACTTTTCATGTTTTTCTGGTTTATATTTTATTTATTTATTCATTTATCTATTTATTAAAGTTTATTTATTTTCAATTTTTTTTAATGTTTATTCATTTTTGAGACAGAGAGAGACAGAGCATGAGCAGGGAAGGCACAGAGAGAGAGGGAGACACAGAATGTGAAGCAGGCTTCAGGCTCTGAGCTGTCAGCACAGAGCCTGACGCGGGGCTCGAACTCACGAACTGTGAGATCATGACCTGAGCTGAAGTTGGACGCTTAACCGACTGAGCCACCCAGGCGCCCCAAAGTTTATTTATTTTGAGAAAGCATGCGTACAAGCAGGGGAGAAGCAGAGAGAGGGAGAGAAGGAAAATCCCAAGCAGGCCCCACGCTGTCCACGTAGAGCCTGATATGGGGCTGGAACTCACAAACAGTGAGATCATGACCTGAGTGGAAACCGAGAATCAGACACTTAATCAATTGAGCCACCCAGGTGCCCCTGGTTTCTAAAGCATACGTGTTCATTATAGGAAATGTAGAAATGACAGATAAAAAAAAAAAAAGAAAGAAAAAAATACAAATCACCCGTAAATTTACAAGTCAGAGAGAATCATCATTGAGTGATATTTTGGTGAATGATTTAGACTTTTAGATGCTTTTTAATGTATGGGAAATACTTTTAAAATCAAAATTGGATCACATTCTTTATCAGTTGTTA